TGCTGTGTGTTGTGTGGGGTTTTGTTTTGGGGTGATGTTTGTTTTGTTTTGTTTTTTTTAAGGGATATTCAGATTACACTGAGTAGAGAGGGAAATAGAGTATTTCAGTTGGAAAGGACCTACAATGATCATCTAGTCCAACTGCCTGACCGCTTCAGGGCAGATTCAGAATTAGCAGAAGTGGCCAGAGTGCAGGTATTCTGTTCTGTAGCAGTTGAAAAACATTGAAATAATTGAAAAGACACAGTGGTAGAGAGTGCTAGGGAGAGGTATGTATTAAACAAGAGAAATGATACCCCAAACTCCACGTGCAAAACTAAATTGCCAGGTAGCCCTCTAGAATATGGGGTGTGATTAACCTTAACCCCCTTCTGCCTAGCCCCCTCCCCAGCCCCCAAAATCAAACAACAACAACAAAAAAAATAATGCAGGCTATACAAAACTGGGTATATTCTTCTACTGCCATGAAACCTTAACTTTGTTTTGATTGCTTGGTTCTTCTGAGACACTGTCTTAATTCACTTTGTACTGGAGATACTGTTGTCACTGCAAAGCTATGGGAATTCCAGGTGGCATGCAGAGAGGTGTCTCCTGTAGCTCTGCAGGGAAGAGGCAGAACTGCTCAGGTCAGGCAGGTGTGATCAGCAGGGATGACCTACGACAGGGCAAGCGGTAAGTAATGCCGTCACCATGTAGTACAACTCGCAGTTGGAGAGTGTGCATGAAATGCTGCGTATCTGCTGCTGAAAGCCTTTCCTCATCAGACTGTCCCCAGCAGGGGGATATGAAGGAGTGCCGTGCTTTTGCAGTAAGGAGTAAAAGGGAGATAGAGGAGGTAAGCAGAGAAATGGTAACGGAGTAGATGGTCTAAAAAAGGTTGTACAACCTAATAGATCTAAGGTGAACATACTGACTGGAAAGTGTCTGGAGAAAGGACACGTTTATGTGCAAACACTTGGTGAAAAGTTCTCTAATCTGGAATTGGTGAGCAAGAGAATCATCCTAGACCCATGACAACTTTCTTCCTTTTCGCAATGGCAAATCATAATTTGTTAGTAAGAAACCAGTGATACATTTAAAAAGTTGTCTGGAACTATGTAGGTCACCAAAGAATGGTGTTTGTGCTTCATCTGCTTGGTTATGTCAGCACTTCCCTTCTTCCCTCAGCTCTTTACAGAGCTCGCTTTCAGTGTTAAGCACTTTTGTGTTCCTAGCTTCTTTCTTGAGGGAAACCTTTTCTGTCCTTGTTACTGGTCTTGAGCACTCAGAAAGGAAGTGTGTTTCCATTACCTATGTAGTAATTGAATTTTCTGTCCAGCTAATGATTCTTCGAGAAATTGTTACTGAGCTTTCAAAAACTCTCAAGCCACATATATTAATGGGTACAGCAGTAACATTAGCTGATCTGTTCTGGCTTTGGTGGAGTGCGAGTGTCGCGTTGGAGTTTTGCATGGGGCTTTTGTGCCATCATGGGAGTTGGAGTTACTGAAAGACTCCTTTGTAAGCAGAGAAATGCTGGTGGTGGTTAATCTGTATGGGAGCAGATGCTTTGATGTAACCTTTGTCTGTGTGCCAACTGTAGTACATGTAGTTTTTGAGATAAAGTGACCGTGAGATCTTGGTCAAAATCCTATGTTTTTCTTTTCTGGGAAGAAATTATGGTAGCAGTTGGATGAGTTGTATATATTCTGACCTTAGCTGTGGAGATGCTTTACACTTACAGACACATTTGATTTTTTTCATGTGGTCTAGTGGTTTTATTTCTCGGGCTTTTAGAGGAAATCAAGGATCATTCTAGATTTGCTTGGTACTGCAGCTTGGTAGCTGCAAAACTTGTTTGATGATAATATGTGCATCTGCCCTTTGTGAAGACTTTTTTTTTTTTTTTTTGCACTCAAACATATGCCTGTGGCACATGTTCGTGTCTTTCACCAATATGCTCTGTGAATGTTAGTTTGCGGCTTCCTGGCTCCGGACTGACTTACGCTTGGTTCTTCTGCTGCTGTTTACTGCTGCTGGTTAGAAACTATTTTAGTAAAGCAGAGGCACTCTGATTTGGCCATTTATAACCTCAGTGGTTTTATCTGTATAAATTACTTTCTGAAATGCTGTGTAGGTAAGTCCTTAATTTTATGGCAAGTGACTGAGATGTCACTGTTGGGGTGGTTTGGGTTTTTGTTGTTGTTTTTTTAATTCTGTGCTTCTTGACCTTCTGCACAAGTTCCTACGATAGCAGAAATAGACTTTTGATTCTTGCAAAATCTCCTACTGTACAAAACCCTACTAAAGGATGCTTTCTATGTGGTGGTATGGGAGAAGGAAACTTGGCTTGGAAAGCCAAGTGATGCTTTAACTACAAAAGAAAGCGAAATTTGTATTTGCTGATGGTTCTGAGAATAATTCCAGTTGCAGAAGTGCCCACACCTGTATACGTGTGTATAAGTCATAGAATCATAGAATGGTTGAGGTTGGAAGGAACCTTGAAGACCATCTCGTTCTAACCCCCCTGCCCTGGGCAGGGACACCTCCCACCAGCCCAGGTTGCTCCAAGCCCCGTCCAACCTGGCCTTGAACACCTCCAGGGATGGGGCAGCCACAGCTTCTCGGGACAACCTGCCCCAGGGGCTCACCACCCTCACAGGAAAGAATTTCTTCCTAATATCTCATTGAAATCTCCCCTCTTCCAGTTTGAAGTTTCATGTGTAATGGATTTGAAGATGCAACTATAAAAAGTCTTAATTTTTGAGAGAGTTTGTACTATTAGAAAGATTTGTATCTTCAGTAGGCAAGCTTAAATGGACTGCTAATAAATAAAAATACAAAGGGATATGCATGACAAAGAAACATGAACTGAAACTATAATAGAAGATTGAACCGGGAAGGGGAGGGAGAGTGAAATACCATTCCATGATGATCTGCTCGCTGAAAAGCGTGACTTGATGTATGGGGGTGCTAATTAAGTAAGGTAGCTCTTCAAAGCGAGTCTTCGCTTCAGTGAGAAAATCATTGCTTGTATTTGCCATCTGATTAGACAGAAATATTTTTAGGTGAGATTTCTTGAATGCATTAAAGAAAACAAAAGAAAAGGAAATGCATACCCAGAGCATTAACTGGGGTATTCAGGGCAATGAATAATTGATTTAATAACTTCTGACTGTTCTGTAGACTGTAAATAAAGTAAAGGTGCCTGCTAGCTTAACACCGTAGAGTAGGTAGAGACTTTGCAGGAGAACCTGGTACTTATTGTTGGTTCTCTTGAAGGTTTTCTTAGGTGCTTCTTTCAGCTTTTACAGGTGTGTATGTAGGTAAAGAACATATAAGCTAAAAAACTCCCACCTCTTTGTCGTTGTGTTGCTTCTGCAAGTTCCTTCTGCCTAAGTATTTGCAGTTCAAAGTATTAACCTTTTACGACTGCGTCGATCACTGCTATGGCTGTAGACCTCAGCTGATTAATTCAGAATTTATGATATCTTATGCAAATATCACTAGTGGTGTTTTCCCACAGTTGTCACAGCTCTTATTTGAAGAAGCATGTTGCCACTTTAAATGTTTTCATACTACAAATGAATAAAATGTAAGCTAAGCTTAAAAAAAATTACATAGAGGATTGTTCTGATGTCCGATGGAGTCTGAAGGGCTGGCTTTTGGTTCAAACAGAATGGTCAAATCCTCGATTTAAAGAAAAAAAAAAAAACACCAAAATTTTTTTAGGGAGACCTGTGTATGGAACACAGAAATTAAACACACAAGACTCAATTTGTAGTTATCCGGAATGTGTTTTTTCCTCGAATCTGTAATTCAAACAGATAGGGAAGAGAGGAATGTTTGTAGTAGTAGCAGTAGGCAATCATTGTGGTTACTTAATTACTGGAGCTGAACGCTCCTTTGTGCTACAAATTAGAATCTCTCTCTAGTTCCAGAAGATGAGATATTAGTATTTAGGAAAAAGTGAAAAATCAACAAGCCTTGCTCTGTTAGATCAAACACATAGATGTAGTTGCTAGATTTGAATACATCAACTTTATGCTGCTGTTACGTGTATGAAATTTGGATGCTGGTAATTACAGTATATTTTAGTGTGCTCTTTATTATCTCTAATCTTTCTTTGATTATCTCTTGTTATTGGCTTACATAATTTCATTCTATTTTTTTTTAACCCCGTGTCTTGGAGTATGTAAGGTAAATTTCAATCCCACTTCAGGCTTTGGCTGGAAAGATGAGCTGATTGCAGCCCGAACTCTTCAGTCACAACAGAACCAAGACTGCCTGAAGCAGTGGCTCTGAGAAATGTTCATAGTGGGAATTCTTTGCTAACGTACGATGGCTGAATCTGTTAATGGTAGTCAGTCTTGGGCTGAAAGGAGAGAGCATGCCCATATGTACAGAAATTGGAAGTTTTTAAAAACATGTATGAAGAGTGTTCCGAATTAGAGGAGAAGTTTGCTTTATTTCAAGTATAGGACGGAGCCGTCATTTTCTTGTATTGTGGGGCGTGGTTCCACGTCCATTAGAAAAAGAATCAATTTTAATTCAGTTTACTGATGGCCCTTGTTCTTGCTTTTAATCCCTCCCAGCCTGTCCCAAACAAATATTGGCATAAACAAACAGGAAGTGTCAGAAATATTTTAGCTATTGTGTATGTCCCAAGTATTTTATTTTTTTTAATGCTTTTAATGAGTAGGGTGGAAGACCTCCTGCAATTCAACCAAGTGTTAAATAGGCTTTTTTTTTTAATATTAGAAGAATCTTGCATGTGCAAACACATTAATTAAATCTGCAAAGCATTTTATTTTAAGAAAACTTTAGCAACTGAACTTGGCAATCTGTTTGGAAAGAAAAGTTGGTGTTGTTTTTTTTTTAATTTTAAAATATACTTGGATTGTACATTTAGATGGCTGCTTCTGAACCCAGTGTCTGCCAAATATTTAATTTTAGTTAATGATCGCAGTATTCCTTGTTCTGTGTTGAATTTTAAAATGTTGTTTCATTGCTAGGATGCCGGGGGAAGTCATCACAAAGTCTCCGTTTCTCCTGTCGTCCATGTCCGAGGGCTGTGTGAATCAGTTGTGGAAGCAGATCTTGTGGAAGCTCTTGAAAAGTTTGGAACCATATGGTATGTCAGGCCGTATAAAGACATCTCTGGACAAGTTGGGAGCATTATTTAAGTGTCTGTTGAACCTCTTTAAACACATTGTGATAGCCCTTTGAAGTCCAGAACTTAGTTAATAGTAAAGCATAAAGATTTCCTAGCTGTGTGAAGATTCTGTAAAGGGCAAGTCTGGTCAAAGAGAGTTACGCTGTCCACATGCCCTAGTGTTTGCTGTCAGACCTCAGTAGCATGGCTAGTGCTGGCCTTGGTATGGGCTGTAGAATCCTCAAATTGTCTAGGTTGGAAACACCCTTGAAGATCATCGAGTCCAGCCATCAACCTAACACTGCCAACTCTACCGCTAGACCATGTGAGGGAGTTGTAGAGAGCGATAAGGTCTCCCCTCAGCCTTCCTTTTCTCCAGGCTGAACAACTCAGTGCCCTCAGCCGCTCTTTATAGGACTTGTGCTCCAGACCCCTCACAGCTCCGTTGCCCTTTTCTAGACACGCTCCAGCACCTCAGTGTCTTTCTTGTCATGAGAAGCCCAAAACTGAACACAGCACTTGAGGTGGGGCCTCACCAGTGCCGAGTACAGGGGGACCATCACTGCCCCAGTCCTGCTGGCCACACTATTGCTGATACAGGCCAGGATGTTGTTGGCTTTCTTGGCCACCTGGGCACACTGCTGGCTCATATTCAGCTGGCTGTTGACCAACACCCCCAGGTCCTTCTCTGCCAGACAGCTTTCCAGCCACTCTGCCCCACACCTGTAGCGTCCATGGGGTTGTTGTGACCCGGGCACTTGACCTTGTTGAACCTCATACCATTGGCCTTGGCCCATCCATCCATCCTGTCCACATCTCTCTGCGGAGCCATCCTACCCTCAAGCAGGTCGACACTCCCGCCCAACTTGGTGTCCTCTGCAAACTTACTGAGGGTGCACTCACTGTAGTCAAACTGAATCACAGAACAGCACAAGGACGGTTGTCTTGTTATAAGTGAATATACCAAAAAGAAGGGTGGGCCACAGGGCAGATGATGCTTTTTCCTGTGGTTTTGTGTGGGAGGATTGCTTGTGATATGGTAGGACCTTAAGAATGAGATGGTTCTTCAGAGAAAGCCCCTTCAAAGGTCATATAGCCTAAAGATTCCTCAACTGCAAACAAAACAGTAAAGCTGAATGGGTAGAGCCAGTTTGTTTTGAGTACTGCTTTTTGGTAACATGTTTCTTCTCAAGCAAATGCATGTATTGAAGTCAAATAGAGTTTTGTAAATAGTACAGTAGGATTTTTCCCTGCCTTAATATTCAAATAATTGAATTATACTTGAACCAGTATCTTAGAATAAAAAAATAAAATGAAGTGAGCCCAAGCTTGCTCAGGAATACAAATAGGTACATTTTAGCTTGAGGGTTTTACTTTTAAAAAACATTATCAGCCGATGAAGATTCTTGAAGTTTGTCTGTGTCTGAATTTGGTTAACTAGAATACTTCTGTTTATTTCCTCTAAGGTAGTTTTGTGTCAAAAATAGAATTTTAAATTTCTTAGCAACAGCAAAGTTGTTTAATGTGCCAACTTCGAATGTGTTTTATAATTTGCATTTTCTTTGATCCTTTACCTCATAAGTAGCTTTAGCAAGTTTTTTGTAATATTCATTGTCGTTCTAGTAAATTAGTAAACGATTAACTGTTTGTATTGGTTGAACGTTTTTATGCTTTCAACTTTTTCAGGAAAATTACTTATTTATCTTATAGCTGCATTTCTTTGTTTTGTGCAAATGCTTTAGAAGTGTCTTGACCAGGTTTGGGAAGCGCCAGCAGGGAGACCTACCTTCCTTTTATGTCCTTGATAGGAATCGTTTAGGAAAACCTATCATATATGACAGTTTTGGGACTTTGGGTAGGAAAACTTACTGTAATATTTCTCTCGCCAGCTATGTCATGATGATGCCGTTTAAGCGCCAGGCTCTGGTGGAGTTTGAAAATGTAGAAAGCGCGAAGAAATGTGTAACGTTTGCAGCAGATGAACCTGTATACATTGCTGGACAGCAAGCCTTTTTCAACTACTCAACAAGTAAGAGGATTACTCGGCCGGGGAACACTGATGACCCATCTGGTGGAAATAAAGTTCTCCTCTTGTCAATTCAGAACCCTCTCTACCCAATTACAGTGGTATGTTTCTTCCTTTTTTATTTTTTATTTTTAATTAAAATAATAAAAGGCAGGGAGCAGCAATCTGTGTTATATTACTTCTGTTGTCTACTATTTGTTAAAATTGTACACTGCTAATTTGAGTCAGGAATTAAATTCACCTACCAAAGCTTTACACCGTCTTCACATAAGTAACGTAAATGTTCTGAATAAAAGGTTTTTCGAGATGACTCAGTCTCATCATACAGATATTTTGCAATCCATTTGAACACTTCAGTGGTCAGGATTTTGAAATGTTTAAGTTTCTACATGCTTCTGAAAGATTTCCAAATGTGTTGCCACAACATCAGGAATGTTTCAGTCTTTCAGGCTGAGTGTTTAAATAACAAGTAATTTTTCCAGTCAGAGGGGTTATTTTATTGCAGTCCTTCGTTCTAAAGCATTTCCTTTGTGGAGAGTTGAAACCTTCATCTGTTGGTGATCACTCCAGTTTGATGGAATCTTTCTTACTTTTATTTGGGCTGATCCATTTTACTTTTCAGTATTTCAAGTCATACTATATATACGGTTTCATCCTAATGTGTTGCCATCTATTTATGGCACACCTGTGTTTTTTTTTAACGATACAGATATTTTTTGCTAGTACTTAATGCATGTTTTGTCACTTATTGAATGCTTATATTTTTCATAGAGATTTCATAGTACACATTTACTTGCACAGAAATATCTCAGGAAAATTTTAAGAAGTCTTGTAAAAAGACTTGTAATACTATGATACAAGCATAAGTTACTTATTCTTAGGGGAAAATATATAGGATAGCATGGATCAATCAAAGTGTTTGGGTTGTGTGGAACCATATAACAATGTAAGTATTCAGTTTAGTTTAATGAGCTGTATATTATGTTAGCAAATTGATTGATACTTAGTATTCCTGAAATTACTTAAAGCAGTCGGTTCCATATCATGCTTTTTGCTTCACTGTATGGTGAATATTGTTAGGTTTTTGCCTGTTGGTTCATTAGTGAATGATGAATTTTCTTTCTCCTGTCAGTCTTCTTTATAGAAATGCATGGCAAAGTATGAGTTGCTTTTTCATCTGTGTTTGAAAATATACCTGCTTTGAGCTGTGCGAAGAAATCCACTCACTAAATTAAAAGTATGCTTTGCATGTGACTGTAATACAAATTTTGGACAGTACTTTTCATTCATGCATTTGAAATTGGGCTTGCATAAGCAGCTGAATTGAATGTAGATGGTTGAGAAAACTGGGAGCAGAAGCACTGTTCTGGGCTAGGAGAGGTTCATGGAAATTCTAAGGATGAAGCCTCTAGCATAGCAGCTCCTTTTGTGAAAATAAACAATCCCCCCCATCGCTTCTTTCCCTCTGCCCCCAACTGTTTGTCTAGAGTATACCAATGTCTGCATTATTAAAAAACAACCACCCCCCCAAAAAAAACCCTAAATAAACCCACAAAGCACAACACCACCTGTTCCTCTTCATTTTTCGCTCCTTCAATTTGAACTACAGTTAGGCGAAATAGAAAAATTGCAACCAGTTTTAAGTGGCAGGTCTGAATAGCTGAAATAAATTGTTCCATAGTTCTTAAAAGCTTCTCTTTCAGAACAAGCTACACTATTTGTGGAGAAATTGGTCTGCTCAAGGGCATCTTGTGGAAGAAGCTGAATTGTTCTAAAATTTTGCTGCGGCTTATTCCCTCCATTACAACTGTGACCTGCTGCTTTCCCAGCAGAATTTTTTTAGAGATTTCCATTTTTGGGATGGGGGAGTTGGTGTTTTGAAAGAGTTTTGCCTGAAGTGTCATACATAGGTCTTTGAAGTTCTGTTTCCCTGTTTTCTTCTCTGCGGGGTGGGGGCGAAATTTGTCAGGGATTTGTCTGTAAGAAGAGACAAACTTGTCTGTTCAAACAGACCTTCTCCAAGTGACCCCTGCTGCTGCAGTCCTGTTACTGTCCAGCTGTACCTCTTAGTTCTCGCTTACATCTAAACCTTCTGTACATGCACGAGGAAGGTGTGGTATGCCTTGGCAACTGAAATGTTTTAACTATCAACTTTTTCTGTGGTTAGGTTGCTGTACCTCCTTTTTTTATGATATTCTAGTATGTATATAGCGCTAGTGTTACTTTTTTATTAAAAATTTCCCATGTTACTGTATCTTGTGAATCACTTGATCAATTTGGTAATCTAAAGTAGCTGAATTTAAAAAAAAAAAAAAAAGGAAAAAAAATCAAGCTGTGGCTGTGCCTGCTGGCTAACCACACTGGTGGCACTGAGTAGAGCTTACATTTTGATGGACAACTTTTTTTTAATTAAACATTTTTTTAATTAGGTGGCTGTGAAGAAATCTTGTGAGAGACAAATTGTAAAAGTCAGTCATATGCCTGAAAATTAATGTCATCTGGACCTGGAAAGTTTTCAGGATTCTTTTGTCACAAACAAGAGGAGATGGAGGGCAGCTGTTTGTGCTATTGGGTGTGCGTAGAAAATATACCTATAGATGATCACATAAATCTTACTTTTTAAGGGTTCATGCTGCTTGAATCCTTTCTAAAAATACCTGTCTGTCTCCTGAAAATCGTAAGGTTGACAATCTCTGTTTCTTCCTTCCTTTAGCTATGCAAACCCTCACTGGAGTGGCTGGAACAAGGCCCCTGAGCATGGGCAATGGTTTTGGTTTGTTGTGGTTTTTTTTTTTTTTAATTTGTTTTTTTTTTTTAGTGGTAATCTGTCTATATTAATATATGAGCTTATATATTAATATATAAGCTTATGATACTTTATATAAGCCACACCAGCTGCAGCCAGCAATAAGACATCCTCTTTTTCTGGTTTCTTGTTGGATGTGGGGCAGTGTTTGTTTTGTTTTTAAGAAATCCAGCATACCCCCCACCCCTTTTCCTCCCAATTGGTCCGCTGTTCTGCAGAACATAATAATAAATACTGTACTTACTTCCTTTCCCCTTTCTTCCTCTTGTCCCCCAAATAAACCTGAGGAAGTACACTAAGATCTTAGAACAAGCATTTTGGAAGTATTTGGTTTAGATATAAAGAAAGGAAGGGAAAACCAGATTGTGGTAGAACTCTCTGTCTGGCAAAGCTCTTGTGCTTTCAGCTGTTTGAACGTGATCTAACTGGTGAATCAAGAAATCACAGTTCTTGTTTGTTCGGGTTCTCAAGCCTGAGTCTTGGGAATTCAGAGTATGGGTGTACAATCACTCTAAAATAAACTTATTTTTCTTGGCCAGCTTCACGATGGAGACTAGTTTCTGGTACCGCGATGTCTGAATTGTTACTGTGTAATTGACTGTTGTTTGAGGTGCTCCTAGCACCACATCACAAGCCTGGCCTGATGTGCAGCAAGGCGAGCTCTTCTCCTTACTGCTTGGTTGGTTCCCTTACAAGACTGAAGGTGGTCTTGAGTTTTACTGGTTCCTTGTAATATCGACAAATGCTCTTGAAACAGAGTGTTAACAGTGAGTTGGTATGAATCCAGTGTTTCCTGTCAGAAGTTTTCTCTGCCTTAAGTGGAGAGGCACAGCAACCACTTGTGGTGTCCTTGATTCAGGTGAATACGATTGAAATTCTGCTTTTGATAAGCTACCTAAGCTTACATCATGGACTCTCCCTGCTTATTCTTCTGAAAATGAACATGATCAATTAAAAAAAGCCTCAGCTGCTACAGTCTTATGAAATGAAATGTGCTATAAATACGGTGTCGCTTTGTCTCTTTCGTGGATGCAATTACTGGGTTCTAACACAGTTGAAGGTACTTGTTAAACTAATGTTTGCGTGGATAGTTCTTACAAAAGTTTTTTCCTGTTTTTCAGATTTGACTGCCTGCACTATATTAATTCATAAAAATGCTAATCAGAAA